CTTGAGACAGCTCTATAAATAGCAGTGTACGCCTGTTCCCTGGGGCTCTTAGCAGGGCCCTAATGACTGTCTGCTCACCCTCAAAGGGCATCATAACCTACATTCACCACAGTGCCATCTTACGACAATCTTAAATTATGTCTTTGATGGACAGAGCAGAACACATTAACAGCTTTAGGTTGGTGTTGAAACATACCCTCGACACTGACGCTGTTCTTTGTTGACCAGTTTTCCGAAGTAGATTCTGTGATGATGCATGCTGCCACCAAGATGAAACAGTGAAGATCAAAAGCTGGATATTAAATGAAGGATGTGAAAGGTGGGTTCTCTGCAGAAAGCTGATTAATGCATCTGGTGCATCACTTCTGGTGTATTTCAGATGGCAAGGCGAGATTGTGGGAAGAATTAAAGGCCTAGTTTCCCAGTCATCTTCTTTCTGTGAGTCTTACATGAGCACCAAGGTTCAAACTGTCTTGTTGATTGTTGATTCACATGAGATTTTCTGTGTTTTTTTTTTAATTCTGTACTCTACTTGCTGATTGGAAGTGGGTGGAACTGAGTGATGCCACGTATTTCTGTGTACCAAACCGGATTCAGAAACATTTTAATTAAAATCTGATGACAGTTGTTGGGTTGTTTGCTCATGTTGCCATCACTGCCAATCAAATCTGATACCAAAACCCATACAGTCCAGTTTTTTACTTTTAATAAAGAATATCTCACAATGTTTCTCTATACTTTGATAGTGGTGCATTAATTCATGAATATTTGATGTTACAGAAAATTACTTTATACTAACATTTTCAGGTGTTTTTAATTATCATTATTATTTCTATTATTTTAACTGCCCTTAAACTGCTCTTTCATTGCCTGGCTAGCCTTTAAACTAGGTTTAAAGGGTTAGCTTTAGGCTAGGGTTACCTATTTTAGTTTACCCTGCATGTGTATGTGTGGATGCCTCATTGGTTGATTGTTTTCTATGGTCTAGACATGTTGGTCTGAAAATACATTTGTTCTTTATTTTACTTATTTTAAGTATTGCTGGAATTTTCTAATTTTAGTTTTGTAAATGTTATTTAAGTGGAAAGGAAGTTCAATTCATCTCCATTAAAACAAGGATTAAGGCAAAACTATCTGCTAGTCTTGATACTCGATATCACCACCATTAAGTTAGAAAATGTTGTTGTTTAATTGATTAATTTAAGGATAAGAACCAAGTTTAGAGTAAAGTAAGCAGATACATCTCAGGTTCAAGACAAATTAAATCAACTGTAATATCCCGTTGGTATGAGACTCATCATTACGAAAGGGGAGGTTTAGCTTTCGACATACAGGGTCAAACGCAACATGTACATTATTAAAAAGCAGGTTTGAGGCCATAAGGGAGGCATTGTGTAACAAACCTTGTTCTTTCAAAATGATGATGATAAATTAGGGAGGAAACACTTTCCATTCCTCAAAAAACAACTCTGGACTGCATCATATAGGGCAACCTTTACATGACCTACATGACCAGTTTGTGCAATGGTTGCGTTAATTTCTCCAGAGAAAAACGAAAACTGGTGAGAAAAAGGCTTAGCCCAATTACGAATGGCAGTGATGTGGCAGTGCTAAATGCTGCTGTGTGTTTCAGTCAACAGTGCTGTGGTGAGATGAAGGAGTCTGTCATCTAGTGTAAAACAAGTCCACTGTTTAAAGAAACCCTGTAATGATGAAAGTATAGATTGGTATCTCAGGGAAATGGTGCAGCAGCTGAAAAAGCCATTACAGGTCAGAGATTTGGATCGGTAATGGGACAGTCTGAGCAAATGAATGGCACCGTTTATGTGTTATGTAACCACTCAAAGAGGTGAGGGAGGCTAAGAGGGTGAGAAACTAAATACAGAAGCATGGTGTGGGGGCTGCCAGAGGAGCCAGACTAAACAGAGTGTTGGATGAACCGGTAAGGGTTTGTCTGTACAGTAAAGGTGACGGCAGAGGATGAGAATACTTGGAGATATTCATCATCCCACAGATAATTTGAGATTTTGTAGATGAGAGCTCAGTGTGTAAGCCAGACTGGTTGCCGCCTGCGTGTGTGTGTGTCAGGGCAGGCGGTGAGGGATGTGACCTTGGAAAGATATTGTTATAATGTAAACAGTGGGGTTTGCGTACTCTGCCAGCGTAGCTACTGGCCTGTTTTAAAGGGCAAGACGTTTTCTTTTTTAAAAATATTTAGTTTTTCTCTCAACCCCTATGTTTGAATGATGTGGATCTTTCAGCCCAGTCTGTCAGAAAATCTCCTCCTTAATACTCTTTCATGAGAGGGCCTTTCTCAAGCTGATGAATTATCTCTACATTTAATCCTACATTTAAAAGTTGTTTTGCTTATTGTTCACCTAGGTGTTTATTTGCAGTGTTTGACACTAAAAGGCGGTTTTTATATTCATATTCTTCTGTTGAAGGGGGAAAGTCTCTTTGCTCACCTTAAATTTAATTCAATTTGAGACCTATACATTCAAGCATGATTTTGACTACATCACAGTAGTCTGCAAAGTCGGTCGTGGCCTAATATTCAACTTACATTAGTGTGATGTGGAAATGTGAAGTGAACATACACTGTGAATTTAATTTAAAAAATATTTGGCAAGAATTTAATTGTACGACTGAAACGGTGGCTGCAAATTAAATCTTATACTGTATGTTAATTGAATTTTAAAAAATCCTAAAATATCTGAAACATAGCCTGTGAATGTATCATTACATAATAAATGTAATATAGGTTGGGTTGGACTGTGTGCATGGATGACTATTTCTTTCTTTTTTTGTTTGTTTGTTTTCCTGTATATACAGTATTTTTATTTGTCAGCCAATTGTTTCAATATAAGGTGGGGCCTTTCTGTGTGAACAATGTAAAAGTAATTTAAAAGTTGGTCACAAAAAGTAAAAAGTTGATTAAAAGTGTTTGTATGTCATAAACATGTCTGGAAGGGATCTTTAGGTTTTTATCTTTTACCTGTGCTTACCTATGTTTCAGTACTCTGTAACTTAAATATAAAATAAATGAAGCATGTTATTATTTTCATTTATATAGGATTATATCCATTGTTATTATTCTGACATTTGTTGTGATGAAAAACCAAAGTTGATGTGTAATATTAATAATGGATATCTACAAAATGCTCATTACTTTTGAGCCAACTCAACCTGCAGACACATCAACATGTTCTCCTTCAGCTGTCGCTTGTTTATTTGTTTTCTCCCCTCTGTATAAAAATAAAAACCTGCATCCTCCTGCTCTACATCTGCCAAAGTAAAGTTAATAGTCCCATAATAGCTGATGGATTGTTCTCATAGTTTATTCAGTGCATCCTCTTGCCTCTCCATTGTCTGTGGCCTCTGGGAATCTGCTAATGCGGCGCCAGTAATGGCTTAGGTTAACTGTTGTGTCTGATGTTTTTTGCCACTAATGACAAAACAGTAGCCCATCAACAATGCAAACATAAGAGAGGAAGCTGACAAATAAGCACATAGATTGTTATTGTGTAAGATATTAAATTAAATTCGGAATTTCCCCATTGTGGGACAAATAAAGGAATATCACTCAATCTTATCTTATCTTATCTTAAATTGTTCGATTACCTGTTGAACCACTGAGCAGCTGTTAAATAAGATGATCTACTGTGAGGCGATCACAATAAGTCATGCTGTACAGTATTTGAGAAATGAATCGACAGCCATTTACAACCACTTCCTGTCCCTTTGCCACTTGCTGGGTAAATAAACATGAAAAAGGAAGTTAAAGATGGGAGGTGGAGGGTTGGGAGGACAATCAGGATAAGTGCACACAAGCTTGATTTAGACTACTGGGTGTTTTCCAATCAGCATGGATCATATTATGTCCTACACACACCTCTGTCTTTGTTCTTTGTTGAAATGCACATACTGTATACGTGCATGTACACACGCAGACACACACACACTCACTCCCTTGCTGACTGATCTTACAGAGCAAAGGGAAGGAAATGTTTTCTTTCGCACAATCAGCTGATGACCGGCACAGTGTTTCCTGTTCCAATGACCTTCTAACCTCAGTGCAATCCCACTGTACACTGTGATTATGTCTCTAATGTATTAATGAATGAACCATTCATGGTGCGTTGCTAAGCTTTGGAGAGGCATGATGGATGATTTTTTCTGTTTCCTGGAAGTTATTTGCCAGCTGAGCAGTAAGATATATCAGCCAAGGACAACAGCTACCCAAATACCAACCTGTTAATCTGTCTATAGACATAACACAGTAACACAGTGCTGGTGCCAAAGTGTAACAGCTGATTCATGGTGGTAGATGGTCATTGACTGCCACCTGCTGGAGAGAGCTTGAAATACTGAGGAATACTGGGACATTCCCATCTAGTGCTCTTGTTAGTGTTTATTTGTTTGTCTGTTTTTTATTGCTTTATATATTTTGTGGATGGGACATAATCTTCTTTATTGTAATCATATTTTACTGTATATTAAAAAACATTCACTGGGTGTTTTAAAAGATGTTATGCATCAATAAAGAGTACTGTATGCTGTATTTTAAAAACTACGTCTAATTGATACTTACAAAAATGTTGTTTACTGCTGTCATACTTTACTGTGCTTAATTATTATTGAAAACATATCAGAGTTTAGATTGAAATAAATAAACAGGTCAAGGCAAAATA